TAACATTGTAAAAGGGAAACTTGCCATTACCAATTTTATAGGTTCTCACTGTTGATAAGATCCGCCAAAAAACTAAAGTCGACATCGAAGAAGAAATGTATTTACCTGAATAGAATTGTGTTGATTAGACAAATTATCTAGACTAGTACTTATTAATTGGACAAATAAATCAGATTGAAACTGTGACAGAGGCTATTGAAGTAGTGAAACTAGCAAAGCATGCTCACTAGGGAGTGGTGACATCACATAAGTGGGGTGAAATTGAAGATTCCTTTATAGGCGATTTGGCTGTTGGCCCTGATGCAAATCAGATCAAGGCTGGTGCTCCTTATAGAGGGGAGCGGCTGGCAAAATACAACCAGGTTTTCTTTTAAAATCACACTTTATTTGCTTTTTTTTCTCGATTTTGTTTTATGCAACTTCAAACGTGCCACCAATAGAGCATTCCAAAGACCAGACTGATTTGGTAACATCTATATATTAATTTTTACAATAGCATTGACATTGGTTTTGCCTTTCTGCTTTGTCTAGGAGTGGTTTGTGTAACCCATTATTTTGTTATACCCATAAAACCTTTGACATCTTCAGATCAAACAACCTGTATGCAAGAGTAGTGCATTCAAATTCCAATGAGTTTACAATGCAATTGCTCTGCTTCCTGTTTCTCAATCATTTTCTTTTCTCGTTTAGAACCAACCCCTTTTCAGCTTGTCATTAATCATGATTAATAGAAAAATATAACATTCGATCATTAAATTCATTTATGAGTAAATACAGGTAAATACATTTAACTATAGCTAAACTTAAACTAAAGAGAATTATCTCCAATTAATAAGTACTAGTCTAATCAACACAATAACCTAAAGTTGATAAGCTAAACTCCCTAGTGAGCATGCTTTGCTAGTTTCACTACTTCAATATCCTCTGTCATAGTTCCAATCTGATTTATTTGTTTTAAAACAATATATAATTATTAGACAAATTTTTAAATGGTGAATCTGAAGATTATGAACTTTCAATTTTCAAACATAATTTATCTTCACATAAGAACATTGATTTCTTCCTCCAGCACCTAATTATATTGTTGACTTTTTAAAACAAAGATAATATTGTAGTCACTCGAAAATCCTAACGATAACATAGAAGAACATAAATGTTGAATTAAAAAAATTCTGGTTATTGGAATTGATACCAAAGACTCGAACCTTTGTAGTTGAGGAACCAATTTGAATCAAAAAATTTAGTTACCTTGAGAATAAGAGAATTGCAAGTAGATTCCCGTATAACTTTTTCAATTCTTTTAAATTATAAATTTATCAATTTCTATTTTTTTAAATAATTGATTATATAAGTAATATTAGAGTTAGCAGGTCCATGGTCCTCCGACGAAACGAAAACAGATAATGTTAGCAAAGTCTTGAACGCACCTTCGCAAACAAACGTGATAACTGAT